TCTTCTTAGTATATTTACAGCCCACCCAGACCTGTCCCCCGTTCTTCCGATTTCATTTACATCCCATTGCACCAACTGACTCAGTAGATTGCAGCAGTTAACCCAGGTGCAAGAGTAAACAAAATAAACTCACCGGAGTAGGCAAGAGTAGCAGAAACAAGAGCACCATTAGCTATCACCTGATAGCACAGCCAATCACTCAATGGGGGTTTTGTAAATTTCCTTAGAATTGGGGATGCTGATGAATGGAAACCAGAGAGACCCGTGGAGTACGCCAGCAGAGACTAACACAATATGCTATTGTACATTCCTAGCTGTGTGCATCCAGAATCAATTTTGCAGGGGGGGGATGTTGTAAATCTTTGAGGATGCCTGACCCTATAAGCTGTACCCCACCTACAGGCTTGATTTATGAACAGCGGGTTTCCCCGGACGGCAACATTTCAAATGTGGGTTGTTTCCCAGCTGACAATAGACATCAGTGCAACCAAAGCCGCCCATATCCGTCCACTCTAATGTGCAATAACCTTTTTCTCTAGACCGCCAAGTGTTTTCTCACTCCACCAGCTAGTCACCACAGTTTCTTTTTACATTTTTGAATATTTTTTAAATTAAAACATGTTAATGTAAGGTAAGCACACCCTGGAATTAACGGGTATAAACTGGAAAGATGCGTAAGAACACGCTACATTGCTGCAAGCATGTCTTTGGAGATTGGCTTCATGTTTGTGGAGATCATGACCTGTGTGTTTTTGCAGCATTAACATGCACTGCAAATAAAGAAAGGGAAACGGGCGGGAATGGGGAGGTATAAGACATTAAGGGTATGTCTATACTGCACGGTTATTTCAGGATGCCAGAGGTATTCCAAAATAGCTACCCTGCATCCAAGGAAAGCGCCCGTTATTTCGAAATATTTTTTGAAATAACAGACGCGCTATTTCGCCATCCCTGTAAACCTCATTGCACGAGGAATAAGGGATGGTTCGAAACAGTGCTTTCGTTTTAAATTTGGTACTGTGTAGACACGCCAAATTTCAAAATAGCCTATTTTGAAATAAAATCAAAATAAGATACGCAATTTGTGCAGCGCAAATTGTGTATCTTATTTCGAGTTTAGGGTGCAGTGTAGATGCACCCTATGGAAGAGAAAAAGGAGAGGGAAAAGTGACACCAGAAAAACCAGGAGCAGATCCTCAGATGGTGTAAGTCAGCATACATTAGCTAGCCTCCAGTGCTTAAGATAGCAACCCAGCTGACCCATAACCAGAGTGGTTAGTTGTTTAGGCAATGGTGGTGGAAGTGCTGTTTGCTTGTTAGTTTTATCAAACTAATATAGGCTATGAGACAGTCAAACACACGGCCCTATGTTGCCAGGTCTGATTATCGCTGTGCAAATTCTCATGTAACTATTCAGTGGCTTGCTGGTCTGTACGTACAGTAAGGTTAGGGCTTATCTGTGCCTGAGTGTGTAGCCCTGGCTGGGCTGCTGTCTCAGAAGGGCAACCATGGGAGCAACAGGGGGTCAGGGAGGCAGAGCTCCCTCCTGAGTTACTAGGGACACAAACGGAGCACACCCATTGCGGTCTGCCTTAGTGTCTACAGTTCTGCCCCTCTGTCAGAGTGGCTAATGATCCCTGTGCACTAGCAATCTCTGTGGGGAGTACCTGGCCACAGGTAAGGCCCATAGGAGGGGAGTGAGGAAGAGGGACCTGTCGACAAAAATGGCTTCCAGCCACAGTGGCAAGAGCAAATCAAAATGCTGACTTCTCTTTTAATCTAGAAGGGAAATCTCTGCTAGTTGTGAGGTACCACTAGGAACTGCCCTCAAAAAAGGAAGACTGGCTCCTTTTTCCTTGTGATGAGGCA